GAGTCCGCTGGTTGCTGCCAAAATCTTAGCACGGATACATAAGCACCATTCGACATTTTCCAACTAGCATCGTCTTAGGCAAGATATCAGACTACTTACCTATTATAGGACGAGTATACTGCACTGCAGTCCTATTTTACGGCTGATACGGCCGTTAAAAGTAACCGATAAGAAGCGGTTACGGGTTTTTGACTACAGGTGTCTTCTTAGTATTGCTCAAGTGTGATCGGACCATGGTATGAACTACCTGCAGGTTAGGCGAAGCGTACTCGGCAAGACAGATGAATCGGTCACCGACAGACATGACTTGGACATTTTGAGCTTGCTGATCCACAACCTACCTCGACGTGGATTGTTAGGGAAAGTCAGATTAGGCTGAAGGAGCTCAGGGTGGCTGGGACGAGATGTGGCACCAGTGCATGAAGTCTCTGACTGTTGATCTGAGTCGTGAAGAGAGATGTAGACTACCACCTAAGTTGGGATCCCCAAGAAACAATGGTTGCAAACTCGCATAGACATGGCTAAAAACCAGTCACAGTGGAGCAGATGCGTATTCACCCTTTGACATCTTCCAAAGCCTGAATATTTGCACTAACCTTTATCTCCGAATATCCTCTCCTCTCATACGCCTTTGTCTACCTTGGTACCAGTCTTCTTTCTATCAGCTGCTTCTTCGCATGCTACTGCGAAGTGTGGCAAACTGCAGTTCTTCTGAGTAAGGTTATACGCTTTTGTATGTCTCGATCTGGATTGAATGCAACGGCGCTACTTTTCGTTGATTGATAGCCATTTCGGTGTGTAGATAAATATGAATCGACAGTCATTAAAGGAGTGAACAATAGTTTTCGTATTTGAAACATGATTTATTCGCTTTAGCATGTTGAAAATTGCACTCTAAATAACCAACAATAAAATTCTCCACAGTAAAACCCTCATGATCATGTGAAAACACGCAAAGCACGACATCCGACGATTTATATCTATCTAGAATTGTAGGTGCATTACCACGTCTTCAGCCCAAAGTTTTTCCATGTAAATTTTGTAGCACTAAAACGAAGTCTCACTAAGTTACAAAAAGTGCACTTTTAGAGAGGAAACATAGAAGTTTCGCATGCACCATACATCCGTTAAATGCTACTCGAAAAGTAGTGAGAGCCATTTATGATTATCGGGAGTAAAGATTGAGTACGCTGCACCCTTCACCTAACTAGGTGATTTTGTCAGTCTTTGTAAACCGACTGACCACAGAATCACTCCATAGATTATTATTATTATTATTATTATCATTATTATCAACATAGGACCAGGCATTACTGCGTAACGGTCCGAGTTGCCACACCTCATATCAGCACATCAAGTAAAAAGGTAGTGAGGTGAAGGATGAAGATAAGTGAATGCAGTCAAAAGAAATATAAAGTATGAGAAGAAAGGAAAGAGGAGTGACAAAATAGTGAGATTCGGTATAGCGTTGTTAAGATGAGGATAATGTGTGTATACATCTGCGCCACTGACTTCGGTTCTGAGCCATATCACCTAGGGTCTCCAACCACTGGTTCCTCTTGTCCCGTGGACCCCAACCACCTAGTCTGCATCGTCCTACATGGCTTAAACCAACAGTCAGAGACTTCATACATTGGTGCCATGTTTTAGTCTGGCCACCTCGGGCCTTTTTCCAGCCTGAACCCACCTCAGCCAACATTGTGTGACGAGGCAATCGGTGACTAGGCATACGTAGTACGTGTCCCAACCATCTCAGTCGATGAAGGTTCACAACCTCGTCGACTGACTTACCTCTTCTCCCTAAAACTCTACACCTAACTTCTGCATTACTCACATGGTGACACCACGGAATACGTCCTATACTACGAAGGCAACGGTGGTCAAATACCTGTAACCTTCTCATGTCTTCCACTTTCAATGGCCATGTTTCACAGCCATACAGTAGAACAGAGCGGACTGCTGTGCAGTACACGCGACCCTTAATAGACAAACGAATATCACGGCGGCGCCATAGGTGGCGCAAATTGGCAAAAGCCAATCGAGCCTTTTGTATCCGTGCAGAAATCTCATCGGCAACTAACCCACCAGTTGATCCTACTTCCCAGGTAAGTGAAGTGGTCAACACACTCAACCACTTCACTCTCTATTGTTAACCGCGGTACCGCTGAAGACCAGTCCTGGAGCAAAAATTTGCATTTGGGTGGTGAAAATCGCATCCCAAACATTCTCAAATTCCCACTCAAAGTGTTCAGAAGACTCTGCATCTTGTCAGCGTCTTCACCTAACAGGACTATGTCATCTGCATATTCTAGATCTAAGGAAAATTCACCTGTGATCCGGTCAACGTCTTTGTAATTAGGTGACGAGAGGGAAACCTCCATAAGAATATCTATGATAAAATTAAATAAGAATGGGGATAGTGGGCATCCTTGACGGACACCACTTGATGAGTATAGCTCCCTGGACAACTCACCATAGGCTCTAACATGCCCACAAGTGTTCGAGTAGAGAGCTTTCAATAAGGTGATGTACTTACTAGGCACGCCTTTCAGTGACAGACACTGCCATAAGACTTCTCGATCAACGGAGTCAAATGCCGCCTTCAGGTCGAGAAATACAGCTATTGTCGGGCGTCTGTAAGCATGCCTATGTTCCAGGACCTGGCGCAGTGTGAATATTTGGTCGATACATCCACGGCCAGGTCTAAAGCCTGCCTGGTTTTCTCGGGCTTGCTGTTCCCGAGCTCCACTCAGGCGTCGGAGAATTATAGAACTTAGGATCTTAGACACTATGTTTGTCAGGCTGATTCCTCTGTGGTTATCACAAGAGGACTTCTCGCCTTTCTTGAAGACTGGGATGATCAGTGACTTAGACCAGTCGGAGGGGATCGTATTTGATTCCCATATACTGGCTAACACTTCCGTTAGCCTGACTAAGAGAACTCTACCACCATTCTTGTATACCTCAGCAGGTAGTCCGTCTGGTCCTGCTGCCCTTCCCCGTTTCAGGCTACCTACCGCTTTCTCAACTTCTTCTAGTGTTGGGGGACCTGTCTCTATGTCCCATTCAGGGTCCGACTGGATAGCGGGCAGCGCAATGGTGGCTGGAGGCCAGTTAAACTGTTCCTCAAAGTGTTCTGCCCATCGTCCCAGTCGCCTTCCCTGCGAGTGAATCGCCGATCCGTCCTTCTCCGCTATAACCTCACTAACTGTTGTTGACCATTTCCCCCCAGTCTCCTTAATAAGTCTAAATAACTGTCTACTGTTACCGATCGCCGCTGCCTTTTCCATCTCTTTAGCCTTTGCTGCCCACCACTGTTCACGATCGTTGCGCAGACTTTTCGTCAGTTTATTTTTAAGTTGCGCTCGCTCTTCATTGTACTCAGAGCCTGCAGGGATGCATTCACGTGCATCCATTAGTTTGGAAGAAGCTGCTGATATCCACTGGCTCTTTTTAGCCATTATCTTGGAGTCGGCTACAGTCTCCAGTGCTGCTTTTACAGTAGACTGAAGATGGCACCAAGCTTCTTCTGGATGAGTGACAGTCTTTTGTTCCGATAACTGCCTAGCCAACTTCTCACTGAACACGGCTTTGGTGTTTTCGTTGTCCAGCAGAACTCGTAGTGGTTTTGTTGCCAAATTTTTTCTACGTCCATTGAGACGCAGGCATATACGTGCTCGGACCAACGCATGATCGCTGTCCAAACACGTACTCCAGAAGGAGCGGCAGTCTTCCACCGATCCTCTCCAGCGATGACTAATAGCAATGTGGTCTATCTGTGTCCATCGCTGAGTCGAGCTCGGTGGACGCCAGGTCAGACAGTGCCTTTCTTTATGTCTGAAATTTGTGCTGGCTAAAAATAGGCGGTTATCTGAGCATAGTTGTAATAGGCGATCACCGTTATCTGTACGTTCAGCTGGGATATTTAGTGAACTATGTCATTCATTATACTAACAAATGATTGAGTTGTCGAGGGAACTGACAACTCAAGGTAAAAAGTAATAGTTTTACATGTCATACGCGATCATATATATTCCTATTAGTTAACCTTCATGCTGTTTTATTTCAGTCGCTTTGAAAATGACAGTGTTTCCTGGCTACTTATACGAACCCATTAGGCTCGCAAGACAGATAAATTTATCAATCTTCTGGACGGAAGTACCTGTGAATACTCCCTGACATAGGTACTCGCGAAATTATGCGGTGCGATGGACCGGTGGCGTCATATTCACAGCTGGAGTATTCATATACGGAATAAATTAATGGATATATTCTCCGATTGATAGCAAAGACTGGATTCAATGTCAAGGAGATTACACCCATGCATACTTCCCCTCCCTTTAACATTGTCAAGATGGCTGGGACTACTCAAGCGAAAAAAAATTCCTAGGTCTAAGTATGTAGATTGACGAGACAAAATCTGAAACCAACAGTTCTCATGGGAGTGAATTAGTACTATAATTCATGAAATTTGTAACGCACACAAGAAACAATGAGAAGTAATCGCAACTCAGAAGTTAGGTATATTCTGACAGAAGCATTTTCTGAGACAATGGAGTTTTGGTACACACTTATAAATTCGTATTCACAATATATATCTCGCTACTTCTTAGGCTGTCATCAAATGCATGAAGATGGTGAGATGACTATTAGCGTTAGGCATAATGAGGACTGTGAATTCTTTAGGAAATCAACGGTCATTGAGGAAAACCCTAGGCAGGGTGGGGGCTAAAAGTTGTCCACAAGTGTTATAATGTTTTATGTGAAAACATGTGTTTTCTGTGTTCTGTATGTATACATTCTGAAGTGAAAACCATGATTATAAGCCCTATTTGCTGCAATTTGAAGCCTTAACTTACTCACTGTCATCCTGAATAACTATACTTACTTCTCGCCTAAGAAGTGAAGGTGCAGCAATACTTTGTACATGAATCACGGTATGAAGCACGATTCATCGGCATACAACATTGAAAAAAAAGTACGCAAACAGGTAAAATATTCACACAGAAAATACGTGCATTTTCACAACAAAAAAAAAGCAACAAGCACGATAACACCTGCAGATGACTTTTAGCCTCGCTCGTAAGCAGGTAATCGTTAGAAACATTTTCCCAGTGCTCTGGAAATCGATAGCCCGTTTCTCGTTCAAGCCAAGTGTAACTCCTGATATACCATTTGCGTATCAACTTACCACATAAAGTTTTTTTTAAGTTCAATAATATGGTACACAGCGCAGTGTTCGATAATTTGCTTTGTATTTTTTGATGGATTATAAAAATTGACAAGGTATTACAAAAAAATAAGTCCGTGCATACAAAAGTCTAAGCAGATCAATGTGTGTGTATACGATATAAAAATTGACGCCGAATTATTCATCAATCGGGATTTGATTAGTCTCGGTTTTGATACATATTACTAGTGGTGGTAGTAAGCTCTGCTATATATAAATTGAGCAAATGAAAACGCAGCATACAGATAAGATCAAAAGTTATAAACAAAAGAAGCCTGAGTGGTTAAAAGTCCACCGTTTAATCTTTTCGCTAAGGAAGAAATTGTGTGCACATTTAGTGTCACATTCGATTCATTGCAACATAAGGAGAAGACGTGACAGTAATAATGATAAAAATAATAAAGCCAGTAAAAAATAAATAGAAGCAGGAAATGAACAAACAGTTTGTCTTTGAGGCAGGGATTTTTTATGCTCTATCTCTGCTGTTATACAGAAAGAAAATAGTGGTGGACAACAATAATTCTTTTTTGGATTAGTACAAGTATGACGACTGAAATACGTACAAATTACATCGACTCAAATTGATCCACCCTCTTTTTCGTATTACCCTCACGTATGGCTCTTAAAGTGCGATATTTATCCATACCCTTATTGACATTATCCTCGTAGTGAATGTCAACAGCTTGCATTTTCTGTCGATTTCGAACAGCATTCAAGTCTTGTCGCAATAATTTCAGGCGTGTGGCATGATCCTGGTCAGTATCCGCTTTAGATTGTCGGAATTCATCATCCATAGCATCGACCACTTGTAGTTCACGCTCTGAAGCAACAAATAAACACTATGAATCACAAGGTGGCATAGAAACAAATAAAGGATTTTGATCAAAATTACATACATACTCCTGCTGGACAGTGCTAGTCAGTATTCATGTAAGAGAAAGGAAAATATCTTCAATATGCTAAAATATGCATTTGCAGGGAACACAAAAACATGAAGTGAATACCGGGAAGAAGATTTCTTGTTCACACTGAGGCACCGGAATCGACCAACTCAGCTGTTTGTAGATAATAGATAGAAAAGCAATATAATATTCATTCCGGTATGAAATCTAAGATTCATCGAAATGGTGTATGTGAAGCGACAGTGATGTGCATTATTAGTGTAGTAAATCGCCGGGAAACATTGTCTATGAAATATCTCTAAATTTCACAGATTTATGAAGAAACAGAACTAAGGAATTCTCTAAGATTGTAGTCTATTCGTCTCAATTCTCCTATTTGCTTGAATGATCAAATAGAGCTTGGTAGTACATTGTTAACCTGGTAATGTAGTTTGTGAAAAAGTGAACAGTCATTGAATTACATGGAAATCTACTACTTACACGGACACCTAATAATTATATGTTTTTACGTCCCAGAACTGCCTTATCGGTTGCATTTGATTGAGAAATACTGAAAATAAGTTACACGAATCCTTCTTAATGAAAACACGACCTTTTTACAGAATGGATATTGTGAAGGGCAACAAAATAATATCAAGGCATAAAACGGGAAGAGAGCAATAAAAAATAACTGGATTATAAGTGAAGCAGTTTTATGAGATGAAAAGTGTTAGGAGTATTTGCACCATCGAGGCTAATATGTCAAGATACTACCATAAATTGTTGCACGGTGACTTGCATCATCTCTAAGCATACCAACACACCTGGCAAATGCATGTTTCCATCGAACCCACGCAATACTACGGAAACAATCATTTCACAAAACGCGGAGATATAAGACTTCTTCACCTCACAGGTCACGTTTGCTAGGTGTAAAACAGGATTGCTTGCTGTCAAATACTGTTTATTCGAACTTCGGCCGCAGGCTAACGTCAAGACAGCACAAAAGTAATCCGAAATGACACATGATCCTCTAAATGTTATATGTAAAATGACAAGTTTCGCCCATCCCATACCTCCAATAGCACTAATACAAATACACAAACTTCTCGACTAAATGCAACCATGTATCGCCAAAAGTGAAAGCAGACACACCCTTAAGCAAACCATGTAAAAATTTACGCATTCATGGCGCGAAGTAGACATCATATTTAAGGGCGCAGATTTCCCAATGATTGATGAGACAAGTACAGCCCATAATACCTTTCTGAAAATCCAGTTGGCAGGCTAGTGCAGTTAATTTGTATCAAGATGCGTGCCGTATGCGATTTCCCTTAAACCCAACAATCAGGTGGGACACTGCTAACCAACCACATAGAACCAAACGATGAGACTGCTGAATTAATAACGTCCGCTAAGTGGTCAATATGATTCAGAATGCGGTATGGTTCGATAGGCAGAACTCGAACAGACGCCAGAACAAATCCAGAACCCCCCTTCTCTGATTCTCTACCCAGTCACTAGAAAGTGAAGGCAAGACGAAACCAGACAGGACTGAATGCATCTATTGTCAATGTGAACTGAGTAGAATAAGAGAGACATTTATGCGCGAAAATTGTCGCATTTGTGCACATATATAGGATTTTATTAGAACATGCTATATAGTCACCCAGAACCTAGAGAGCAAGTTCATAAATTCGAATATACAACTTTGGAAAATCTTAAATTTTTTCAAAATGGAGTAATATAAAATACTCCAAATTTTCCGCAGTTTTGGGTTCGGTTCAAGGAAGACAGTAGTATTTCCCAAAAACTGTTTTGCTCAGTGCTCTAGGAGGCTTTGCAGGTCAGTAATCTAAATACCACCTACCTCACAAACTATTCCACTGATAGGTGGTTTTTGCTGCTAGGGATTCGGATAAGTAACAACTTTTAGATGCTGCTTTCACCGTACATGTTTTTTGTAAGCGCAGTAGGGTTTTTCAGGTATAAAACTGCTTTACTTAATTATTGTACAATGTCTCGTAAGTGCAGTTAGTGCTCATCTATACTTGAAGAATAATCGGTAGTTATTCTAAAATGTAGCTGGATTTGATATTTCATTGCGAACATAAGTGTAACCGGTTTTTCTGAGTTGACCTGATCAGAGTAGCGATTTTGATGAGCAACTAAGTTTACAGCAAACTAACTATGATTGGAGTCTAACAAGTGCTTACAGAAGTGACAGGAGAACGCCAAAATGATGGCTGCATCAGAAGCTGGTGCTCAGAAATGTGTTATGACTGGTATAAAGTTGCAGATCTCGATTATCCATTGTGAAGCTTACTAGTTATCACCAGTAAGCTAAGTGATTCTCCTCTGAATCCAGACACCCAACCTCCAACCAGTACCGAAACAGTTGTACAGCACATCTAAAGTGCGACACGAAAAGTCTGTGGCTGCAATCTACCGAAGCGTGATCATAAACAGCGAAGAGATATTGTTTCCTGCATCGACCACCTTGTCGGAACTTTCGATCTAAACACAAACTATCAATAAAGATCCAATAAAGCAATATAGCTTTAATTTTGGAGCTCAGTATAACACATATATCAGTAAGGTCAGATACCGGTACCACAGAAACTTAGATAAAAGCGAGTGAAAAGTATAGACGGAAAGAATACTTATTCGAGGCCCTTCGCTGAAACATTATATGCGTACCCTCAGAGATAAACCACCCAAACACACATCCGCACACATTCAGCATAGTTTCGGAGAACCTTTATCACATATTGCACTGTAAGGTCTTGTGAAATCAATTATCCTATAGATCCAAAGCAAGATTAATGATTTTATGAATACTAGCATTACAAGAGAAACAGCCATTTTCGATTCTCAGACAGACAGATAGGGAAAAACCAAGGTAGAATCCTCACACACAAAAATCCGCTCACGTTGCCACACTTCATAGAAGCACACATGGAATAGGTAGATAGGAAACAGTTATATAAAAGTAGATAAAGTAATGTGAGAGAACTAACAATATGAAAATAACCGCGAGTGCAAAAATTCAAGGTATAGAAGATGTCAAGGAGTGAATACATCTGCAACACTGTGACCGGTTTTTAGCCACGTCATCAAGAGTCATCAACCACTGATTATTTATGTCTCCGGGACCCCGACCAAACAGTCTACAATACATAGCCCCACATGCCTCAGACCAACAATCACGGACTCCATCGACTGGGGACAGGTCTTGGTATGAACACCCTAAACCCTCTTCCAACATAACCCAACTTACCCCAGCATCGCACGTCGTCGCACATGCAGTACATCACATATCCAAATCATCTCAGTCGATCAGGTTCACAACATTATCAATCAAATCACCTGTATTACCCGCTACTCTTCGTCTCACTTCAACACTACTCACACCATGATCACAACAAACGCACACAATGCTACTAAAACATCTGTGATCACGAAACCCTGTAATCACTTCATCTCTTCTACTTTCAACGGCCACTTATAACAGCCATACAACAGGAAAGAACGGATTCCAGTGCAGCATACTCGTCCTTTGATAGATAGTCCCACATCTCGTCATCCGCACCACAAGTGACGCAAGTTGACAAATGACAAACGCCACTTCTGTATACCGGCTACAATTTCGTCACCAACCACCCACCACATTCGGTGCTGGGCTGACGCAACTCCCCCAAGTAAAGTAAGTCAAGTGGTCGACACATTCCAATTCCACCACTTCACTCCCTACCATTAAACCGTGAGTACTTCCAGCAGACCAGTAGTCCTGGAGCATCATCTTACATTTCACAGTGACAGCGAAACGCCTCCCACCCAAACATACTCCCATTTCTGCCCAATGCATCCAGATGAACCTGAATTTTTTTCGGCGTCTTCACCTAACAGGACAATATTGTCTGCATACTCCATCCAAATCAACCAGATGACCTCCATTTGGGAGTAGGATAATCCCTGTGAAGCTAGATGTATCGAAGTTTATGTCGATTAGTAGGTGTATGATGAAGTTAAATAGGAACAGTGACAATGGACATTTCTGGAGGACACCACTAGTAGTCGTTAGTTCTGATGACAACTGTCCGTAAGCCTTGACACAACTACATGAGTTCGAGTAGAGAGCTTTCATTAACCTCATGTACTTGCTCGGTACTCCTTTTCACAGTCAGACACTGCCATAACACCTTACGGTTGATAGAGCCAAATGTCGTCTTTAGGTCAAGAAATATGGCAAGTGTCGGCTGTGGTATGTCTGTTTCATAGCGTGTCATTCAGAAAAAGAAAGAAAATCCAGAAGTAATAGATAAAATAAGCTAACCGTCAGAATCTTTTTTGTCTCCATTGTAACGCTTCATTGCTTCTTCATGCTCAGCACGAACACGAGCCAATTCAGCTTCGAAAATACGTTTCTCTTCTTCACGTTGTTGTAATAGCTGTTGCTGATGTAGATTTCTGCACTGATTGAATCATGCTGCCGTTCAAGACGCTGACGCTCTTCCAGTGATTGGGCACTCTCCTAAAATCATAAAGTATCAAAATATTAACACATTTTACTGTGACAGGGGAGAAGCACATGCTAAGCAACCAGCAGATATTTGGACTTCAGACGATGAATTTATGTTATGCGCTTGATTAACAAATGTTTGCTATATGAGCAACTTTAAAAGTCATCTGACATCACAATTGTTTGTCTATTATCTTTTGATACCGAGTTTCGACTAACAGGTCGTTTGATAAAATATGGTGTTTCAGCATTATTACAAACTAATTGGTCGCCAGCGTAACCAACGTAATACTATAAGGCTTTTGCCAGTGGCAATATTGGGCTACTTAGTCACTATGTTTGAGTCATCATTGTGTAGAGAACGAAAGTGATTATCAATCCAAAGTGGTTCATTGGGTTCACTTCGAAACTATGGGTCCAGAGTTGAGAACCTGCTCGATCTGGATAACTGGAAAGTAGCATAAACCTTCACATAATAAATAGGGCTCAAATCGTAGTACATAAACATCTGGATGGGGATTCAGCAGAATTATTTTGATTATGCAACTGTACAAGACTGCATTTGAAAGAGATAAGTTATAACGCTCTGAATGATTGCACTGCAGATTGTCAATCCCAGGTTTTGAGTTATCTTGTAGCAGATGCGTACTGTTCATAATTGTTAACTGTGTGTAACCGAGGTGAAAGGTTTTTTGTTAATGCCATAAAGTCATTTAGCACTATATGTGCTGTGACTACCATGTCTACTGTGGCAAAATAAAGACAACAGTAAAAAGAAACCTAGTTTGTTTCTTTTAGAAAAAAGACTTATTCGATTACCATTTCTAATTGGCGATTTGTTTCTTCTAAGTGTCGTTGCAAATCTTCAAGTTGTTGTCGTGATTGTTTTTCTTCCTCGAGTTGTAGGTTAAGTTCACTAACTTTGGCTTCGTACTGTTCTAAAACTGACTGAGTACGTGCATAGGTTTCCTCGTTTTCTTGCATTAAACGTTCCATCTCACGGAATCGTTTTTCTACCATTTCTCGTGCTTCTCGCTCCGCACGTAGCTTTTCTCTAGTGTAAAAGGATACAAAGTTAATAAACATGATACGTGAAATCAGTATTTGCACATGTTCTTTTGATGAAAATGAAATTAGATATTAACTTCGTCATTTTTCCGAGACTTTCGCTAGCTTTTGGTGTACAACTTTACCTAATAACGGTCGACTTTTAGATATTTTCTTCTTTGACCTACAGACATTTCCTGGCAGCATGCATCATTGAAATAAATCATGCGGCAGTATGGCCGTTTCATCAGTCTTCATGTTCCAAAACCTAAAACTTTGCCTTGCCTTGTGCGCAAAAGATGGGACTGTACTTTAGATGTCTATCAGGCACCCAAATGGTTTATGAACTAGAAACCATTACAATAATTTGAATAGCCAATGTCATTGCCTAATACACTGCCACAGAAAACAAACGCCATGTTTTGTATATTATTTCCTTCGACTTTTTGCACGATCTGTGCAACGCCTTATCAAAAAGATTAGGGATGTCTAGTGAATCACGGATAAATCAATCAAACCAAAACCATCATGCATATATCATATCAGTACAGTTTACTGAAATTACCAAACACCAGCTTTCTGGATATAGACGCGTGAAAACTCCGTAGACATAAATGGCACAGAACCTCTCCCTAAAACGAGACCAACATAAACAGAGAATAAGAGCATAAGCGGGAAGAGAACAAACATAAATAATGAGACCAATGATTTTGGAGAAGAGTGAATATATATCAGTAATCACTGATTCCCTTGTACCGGATAGAACTTCCAATTTTAAGTTGACTAATTTGGCTTTAGTATATGCTACTAGTGCACCGTAAGGTCTTCAGAAGATCCTGGCTTCGATCAGCATCAACGTTTAGCAAGAAAATATCGTCTACGCCATAAGTATGGGAAAAAGAAAAGTGTAGACTTCAGGAAACCGAATGGTTTTATCCAGTTCAAAAGATGTTTTTGCTCGCAACATTGCCCACGTTATCACTGTAATCCCAACTCAGGAACTTTGTAGTGACCAATCCTTTATATATATATATATATATATATATATATATATATATATATATATATATATATATATATATATATATATATAAAGTAGTTTTATGGTAGCTGCCTTTTAATGACGGTTTACTGTTGTATGTAACAGCGTTTTCTAGGAGTAAGATAATTCATTTCATGTTTTTAGATTATTTTACGTTATGAGCCTGTAATCTCCATGTTGATAGGCATCAATGAGACCATTACCATGATAAGGATACTCAGGACTAATCTTGTCTTTGAATGAATGGATGCTCGCAGGAAAAATTGCGTGACTAATCTACGCACGAACAATATCCACAAGAAACTAGGATTGTATGGGTAATTAGTTAGGAGTACACGCAAGAACACTGAATATCAACGATAATAATAAAGTCTTTGTAGTAGTGGTAATATACTACGGACTGAAACGTTGAGATATACTGAAGAATGAAAAGCAATCATATTTCACACGAATAGGAATCAAGCAAGCTACAGTAAGTGGCGAAGGAATTTAACAAGTAAACTTTGTGTATGTGCCTATACTGGGTTGAATAAACTTAGAGCCTAGATGTGTCATCCGAGGTTTCTTCTTTCACATTACTGTCATAATGTACGTTGATTACGAGGTTAACTCGCATTGTGACGCCATATAAAGTCTAACTGGTGGTTTATGAAACATAATAATTGCCTAAACTGAAGTCGAGTGGAATTTGAACCCTGGACCAATAACTAGGACGAAACAGCTGTTTAGTGGTCCCTAGTTTTTAATGGCTCTGAAACTGATGTCAGTCCGTTGAAATCAATAAATCTCGACAACCTCCAAAGTGAATTACTGTCGTGTGCTCTTTAGTGAGTGACTTGCTATTAGATGAGATTTCCCGAAGTTCCAGCGAGAAGTCATGACCGATGGTCAGACGTGAATTGACAGAAGTAAGGAAATGTGAACCATCAGATTCCCACCCAATGGTCCGTTGGTAGTGGTCGCCACAAAAACTGAACGTTCTGCATTCCAGTCCTGCCGGGGCCACGGGTACGATACCATGACGAAACAGCCGTTTAGTGCTCCCTGGTTTTCAACAGCTTTCCAACTGACGTTAGTCTGTAGTGAATACCACCTTGGGAATGTTGATTATTGAATCTTAGGATCTAAGGGGGAGCATTTAAGTGCCAAATACATAATTTTCAGCAATAAGTTTGCAACATCATTGGTCGTATTGCGGTATAGCATATGCTGTTACTATGATTGCAGTTAACGTGGATTTGTTCTACCTTTTTAGCAGTTAACATGAAAGACGGATATGTGCAGTCATTTTGAGTGTAGTTCATTTAAGTATAGTTGTTTTTATATCACACCTTCGCTGATTGGACCGAATCGATAGGTTTCTATTGGCATATGGGCTCCAGTGCGGATCCCTTGATACTACCTGTGCGCTAATGATAGTAATGATGGATAGTGACCAGCAGTGGAATCCAGGATGCGCGGTTCGTCCTGTTTGGGACTTGTCAGCTGGATGTACCTGCTTCCCAGTGAGTAAGCGGCCATTGTGGCTCGGTGGTGTAGTAGATAACGTTCTGGCATTTGGAGCGACCGCTTCCGAGTCCGAATCCGGATGGTAACAACACCACTCACTAGGAAGCAGGTACATCCGGCTGACGAGTCCCAAATAGGACGAAACGCACATCCTGGATTCCACTGCTAGCCGCTATCCATCACTAATGTAATTCATTTTATTCGGTAACAACGATCGATGTACACGATAGGAACTGAGACAACCTCACTTCATCTATTTCATCATGATAAATTAGATAGTAACATACACATCCATGTAACAACCTGATATCCAAATATGGATGAGGTTGCTGACTTTGATATTTGCATTTAAGATAACCGTCACTTATGAGCTGCTTATTTCAGTGCAACAGACCGATATACAGAATACCGTCTCCACAACGCCACATAGAAAAGTATAAACGTATCTGTATTATTACAGATACGTTGATACCTTGTGTTTCCTACACCATTAGTAAATGTAGCTACATCAGAAATAATAGCTAAGTGAGGTGGTAAAAAGCTTCCTCTTTCCGTAAGAAAATCAAACTCGAAGTAGAAGTCAAAACATCACTTACTATTCGTAGTGAGCCCACGAACACTACCTTTTAGCGATAACTAAGGTCTAAAAAGGTTCCACAGCGTAACTTACTATCAGTATACGTATGAACGTATTAAATGAGGTTATTAACGAATCGAATCAAACCGGAGTGCACTCCGCAACCATGTGCACATTCGTGCAGCGGGCAATGAGCCACAACTATTGTATGAGGGTTAGTTATACTACGTGAATTCTCAAACGTAGGTAGGTGGGGTGGGGTTCAAACCTATGACCCATTGGTCGGAAGTCATCTTCCTAAATCAATGAGCCACAACTCTACTTTTTAGCGGACTTGGTGATTTCCAATATTAAACAATACCTATTCAGCAGTCAAAGATAAAGGAATACTTTAGAAATGGTTCACTTTCATGCAGTACTTTTGTTGGGGTGTCATCAACTTTAAAGTGAACACATTCTATCCGGTTTTACCCTGAATATCAAGATTTTTCACCAGAGCTCAAGGCACGGTACATGTGTTGATAATAGATCTATTCAACTATCAATAGACAAACTCTTCAACGGTTTAATGAAAGTTTTAACTTTCAATCTCATACTAACTTTATCCCTTACTTCGTTGCCCCTTTCCCGACCGATAGCTGCTACCTTGACGTGGTGGTCGGGCTTGCATATCACAATGACCCAACGAGCTATGCTGGTGGAACGCTTGTTCCCTCGAGGTCCTACCATACCAGAAAGGTCTGTTGGAGTGGTTAGACGAAAAGCAGTTACCGTTATAGTGTAAATTGCTACACTATGATGGGGGTCTGAGGGCGAAGTCGTACTGCTGCTAGCTGGATGGGGTGTGACAGCAGTAAGGTGTTTCCCTTGGATGACCAGCAGTGCCAAGCTGATGCTGCCTTCTCAGTGGAAGGGGGGGTTAGAAAAGGTCGGCCCCAAAAATAACACACTCCACCACGCCCCACGGTCTGCCGGGCCGGCGGTGTTGGTTCACTTGTCGTTTCCTTTCGCTCATCCGGCCCCAAAAATACAAAAATTCAAAATAATCATACTCAAAAGGCTGGGTGTGACAGGCCTCAAGCAGATGTCCGATGGGCTCTGCGGTCACACAAATCTCTTTCAGGTACCTTAAGAAGAAATAGCCTTCCACGGTGTGGGCAGCCGGGAAGTGTCAACCGCCCTCACAACTCTGTCAGCACCCAAGTTTCTTCTGACTGCTATCCTCCTCCTCCATCATTACCTTCTAATCTTCCTTCACGTCTCTTAATTAATGATGCTGCATCATCTTCAATTTCTCCTACCTCTGCAGCCTTCGACAACGATCTGAGTCCACAGAACAGCATCCCTGGTCTCCTTAAACCACGCTCCAAATTACATATTGGAGCCTTCAATGTCCGCACCCTCCGTCAAATTGGCCAACAGGCTTCGTTGGCAAAGACTCTAGCAACTCGGGCATGGATGTGTGCTGTGTTTGTGAGACACGCATACAGGACCCAAGTGTGGTTATTCACCTGACCTCTCCTGACCAATCTGGTGAATCTGCAAAATTCACCCTTCGAGTTTCTGGAGATTCGATAGCTAGCTCTCGTGGTCTTGCAGGTGTAGGTATAGCATTAAGCACCAGGGCAGAAAACTCACTACTAGACTGGATCCCAGTTGATAGTCGCCTCTGCGCTATGAGGCTGAACGGCACAGTGAGAACTAAAAGGAATAGTGAGACTCGCCGTTGTCTCTTTGTAATCTCTGCTTACGCACCCACTGACTGTAGTTCGGATGAAGTGAAGGACGAGTTCTACCATAAACTGTCTAACCTCCTCTCGAAAGCCAAACGTTCGGACGTAGTGGTTGTTGCAGGTGACCTCAACGCACAGGTGGGTAGACTGAGTGAGGCAGAAAGGCACTTAGGTGGCACTTTCGGAATCCCAGCTGAACGTACAGATAACGGTGATCGCCTATTACAACTATGCTCAGATAACCGCCTATTTTTAGCCAGCACAAATTTCAGACATAAAGAAAGGCACTGTCTGACCTGGCGTCCACCGAGCTCGACTCAGCGATGGACACAGATAGACCACATTGCTATTAGTCATCGCTGGAGAGGATCGGTGGAAGACTGCCGCTCCTTCTGGAGTACGTGTTTGGACAGCGATCATGCGTTGGTCCGAGCACGTATATGCCTGCGTCTCAATGGACGTAGAAAAAATTTGGCAACAAAACCACTACGAGTTCTGCTGGACAACGAAAACACCAAAGCCGTGTTCAGTGAGAAGTTGGCTAGGCAGTTATCGGAACAAAAGACTGTCACTCATCCAGAAGAAGCTTGGTGCCATCTTCAGTCTACTGTAAAAGCAGCACTGGAGACTGTAGCCGACTCCAAGATAATGGCTAAAAAGAGCCAGTGGATATCAGCAGCTTCTTCCAAACTAATGGATGCACGTGAATGCATCCCTGCAGGCTCTGAGTACAATGAAGAGCGAGCGCAACTTAAAAATAAACTGACGAAAAGTCTGCGCAACGATCGTGAACAGTGGTGGGCAGCAAAGGCTAAAGAGATGGAAAAGGCAGCGGCGATCGGTAACAGTAGACAGTTATTTAGACTTATTAAGGAGACTGGGGGGAAATGGTCAACAACAGTTAGTGAGGTTATAGCGGAGAAGGACGGATCGGCGATTCACTCGCAGGGAAGGCGACTGGGACGATGGGCAGAACACTTTGAGGAACAGTTTAACTGGCCTCCAGCCACCATTGCGCTGCCCGCTATCCAGTCGGACCCTGAATGGGACATAGAGACAGGTCCCCCAACACTAGAAGAAGTTGAGAAAGCGGTAGGTAGCCTGAAACGGGGAAGGGCAGCAGGACCAGACGGACTACCTGCTGAGGTATACAAGAATGGTGGTAGAGTTCTCTTAGTCAGGCTAACGGAAGTGTTAGCCAGTATATGGGAATCAAATACGATCCCCTCCGACTGGTCTAAGTCACTCATCATCCCAGTCTTCAAGAAAGGCGAGAAGTCCTCTTGTGATAACCACAGAGGAATCAGCCTGACAAACATAGTGTCTAAGATCCTAAGTTCTATAATTCTCCGACGCCTGAGTGGAGCTCGGGAACAGCAAGCCCGAGAAAACCAGGCAGGCTTTAGACCTGGCCGTGGATGTATCGACCAAATATTCACACTGCGCCAGGTCCTGGAACATAGGCATGCTTACAGACGCCCGACAATAGCTGTATTTCTCGACCTGAAGGCGGCATTTGACTCCGTTGATCGAGAAGTCTTATGGCAGTGTCTGTCACTGAAAGGCGTGCCTAGTAAGTACATCACCTTATTGAAAGCTCTCTACTCGAACACTTGTGGGCATGTTAGAGCCTATGGTGAGTTGTCCAGGGAGCTATACTCATCAAGTGGTGTCCGTCAAGGATGCCCACTATCCCCATTCTTATTTAATTTTATCATAGATATTCTTATGGAGGTTTCCCTCTCGTCACCTAATTACAAAGACGTTGACCGGATCACAGGTGAATTTTCCTTAGATCTAGAATATGCAGATGACATAGTCCTGTTAGGTGAAGACGCTGACAAGATGCAGAGTCTTCTGAACACTTTGAGTGGGAATTTGAGAATGTTTGGGATGCGATTTTCACCACCCAAATGCAAATTTTTGCTCCAGGACTGGTCTTCAGCGGTACCGCGGTTAACAATAGAGAGTGAAGTGGTTGAGTGTGTTGACCACTTCACTTACCTGGGAAGTAGGATCAACCTCGGTGGGTTAGTTGCCGATGAGATTTCTGCACGGATACAAAAGGCTCGATTGGCTTTTGCCAATTTGCGCCACCTATGGCGCCGCCGTGATATTCGTTTGTCTATTAAGGGTCGCGTGTACTGCACAGCAGTCCGCTCTGTTCTACTGTATGGCTGTGAAACATGGCCATTGAAAGTGGAAGACATGAGAAGGTTTCAGGTGTTTGACCACCGTTGCCTTCGTAGTATAGGACGTATTCCGTGGTGTCACCATGTGAGTAATGCAGAAGTTAGGTGTAGAGTTTTAGGGAGAAGAGGTAAGTCAGTCGACGAGGTTGTGAACCTTCATCGACTGAGATGGTTGGGACACGTACTACGTATGCCTAGTCACCGATTGCCTCGTCACACAATGTTGGCTGAGGTGGGTTCAGGCTGGAAAAAGGCCCGAGGTGGCCAGACTAAAACATGGCACCAATGTATGAAGTCTCTGACTGTTGGTTTAAGCCATGTAGGACGATGCAGACTAGGTGGTTGGGGTCCACGGGACAAGAGGAACCAGTGGTTGGAGACCCTAGGTGATATGGCTCAGAACCGAAGTCAGTGGCGCAGATGTATACACACATTATCCTCATCTTAACAACGCTATACCGAATCTCACTATTTTGTCACTCCTCTTTCCTTTCTTCTCATACTTTATATTTCTTTTGACTGCATTCACTTATCTTCATCCTTCACCTCACTACCTTTTTACTTGATGTGCTGATATGAGGTGTGGCAACTCGGACCGTTACGCAGTAATGCCTGGTCCTATGTTGATAATGATGATCGTTGCCCCTTTGGATACCAAGATGTATTTAGAACGAATGGAAAGAGGATAAACAGAAAAATTCAACAACTGATCCTTAACATCCAAATCAATGAGGGTGAGAATCAGTCAGTACGCCAAAAAAGAACAAATTTCCGTGAAGAAAGCTTTGAACTGTAAACAATAGAGCAAGTACTCACACTTTTGTCACTAACCGAAACATACTCACCTTTCAGCTTCGCGTGTATTCTGGCGCTCTTTAGCTTTAACTTTCATTTGCTGCACCTCAATAGAATCCGGTTGTCGTCGGATGGCATATAATTTGTGGTTCCCAGTGGAAAGGTTCAGAATAAGCTTGCAAGTGTGTGTGCTATCGGTGTAAAATGTAAGCGCCTGAAATAGATCAGGAAAGTGATACACAGCTGATAACATGTGCACATTAAAATTTTAGCTCGCTACAAACTAGTGTACATTAAAAGTTTAAAATACTATGCAACAAACCGCACTGGCAGAGAAAACTACTAACTCATTTGACGTTGCTGCTTCATAAAAATGGACTTTTCATTCATTCACAAATAAGAATGACGATTTTACGTCATCAAATATGGAAGAGAAAGAACAAACCTAACCATTCTTTTGCAGGATCTTCCACAGAAAACTAAACAATAAATCTCAGCTACACATTGGACACTTCATACTGACATGCTGTATTTTTACGTTTCACCTTTAGTATTGGAACATACTGAGTTACACCTTGTTTTTGTAGCTGTTAGCTGGTAAAACGACAAATAGGAACAATGCTAAAATTGAGATACAATCAGCATAAAAACCAGGTAAACTCACACAAAAGGAACACGGACTGCAATAATTTTAGGCATGAAAATTCTCTTGCTGCAGGCCAAAGGACAACAATAGGAAACCAAACAACAGTTCTATCGAATGTGACAAAATATTCGCAGTCTGGCGACGCCAAGCTTAAAACCGCAAATTAAAGGTGATTACAGGGAGTGTGTGGTGTGACAAGTGGTTTAATTCTCGGTAATATGGATGACAAAACAACACTTGGATCGATGATTGATATCCAGTAATTATAACTGCTGACATTTGATATTTCTTTGAAACCGATATCATATATTCCTAAAAATACTATATAGCGGGGAAATCCTCAAGACTATATATACATGCATGCATCAGTTGTCAATAAGAATGTACTCCGTTCAAATGAAGAGGGAATAGATAACTTTAATAGTGATACTTAGTGCACTGGGTGCCAAGATATTCGGCAAAAAGCGAATATGAATGAAATCTAGCTCTTTATATTTTTATCTGTAACTTTGATTTGCTTGCCCTTACTTCTGCAGAATGTACCAACATCCACTAATCGCCTTATTGTTTTGAAAAATCTCTTACTAATTGGTCAGTGACAACAAGATATAAGTTACACTTCAATGTAATTCTAACAGTTTTCCTCCCACAAATTCAAATAGTTATACGCTTAAATATTTTTAAGTACATCAAAATGATTTGTTCAGCGATGGCCATTTCATTTGTTTGCTACTTGAGTGTGCTAGTGAAAGAGTCTCGATATAATTATCTGGAAGTATATGTCATTAATCCTTAAGCCGTTGGGAATGTTTTCATGATGCATTAGAAATTTGAACTTTGCAGTATCAAAACGATGTTACTCATTGAGCAAAACAAGCTACAGTCAAGTAATTAGAGGTTAGAAAACACTGAAGAGCACTGCTACTTACAAGAGAAACCATCCAAAAATCCTCAGCAAAACGCAAGTACACGAGGAAATCGATGTCTTAAGTGGTGAGAAGTGATGAGCTATTGAAAGTGCGAGCACTAAGCATCTGGTAAAGAAAATAATCCTTGTGGAAGTAACATATTCAGTCCCCTAATAGTTTTGTGAACCGCTGTCCTAGAATGATGTAATTACCAGTTGATAACAATTCTAACTATCTATTGTACCGCATATGCATTCAGTAAGCGCCTTGAAGAATTTCCTTCGTTCTTTGTGGAAGTTACAAACTAATCTTGCTTGACAGGTACTGTTTGACACTGAATGCATTTCGAATTTAAACTAATACCCAGGAAGTTCTACACTAAGTTCAATGACTTAAAAAAAGCATGAGCATGAACTCGTCTGAAGTGAGAAACGAGATATCTACATATTAGCCATACAGTTTCATCATGGCAGTATTCGTTAAATGACTATTCCATATCCACAATATTTTTTGATAAAATCTTTACTTTGGCTTAATGAATTCCCCTGCCTTTTGTCGTTACTTTGACTCACGTGTATACACATAGTAAAACATAGGTCTTAAGCGATTAGTTCAGAGGAATTGTAGTTCTTCTTAAATCCCAGCTAACCTCTGTTCTTAGTACATAATGAAACCCAGTGAGTACTACCTACCTACCTTTGCAAAGAAAATTAAATACACCTACAGGCTCCCGACCATATTTTACACTTTTAGATTAATTAAAACCTGCACATGTCTATTTTTAACTAGCTTAACTGAGAGTAAAACTAAAGCACTTACCTTGCCTGATGCTTCAGCAGGTTTAACGGAAAACTTGTTGCGCGAGTAGGATAACTTTTGTATTTCATTCCATGGGAAGCTAACCTTTGGTGTTAACCTGTAGAGAAATAAAATGATTTTATTAGGAATTGAAACATAGATAAGCGATATTTGTTGTAGAACTAACTTTTTGGTGTAGACAGCTAAACCTTAACCAGTCAATCACGGGTTCGAACTCCACTTTAGTTATCGAGATATGCGTCGGAAAGTATTAATATGAGCACTCACGCAGCAGGTGCAGATTATGACTTACTGTGGAAACCAAAACGTGTTTTTCTGCTTTTGCTAGTTTTATTTGCCTTAAAACGCAAAAGTAAAACTAGAACCATACGACTAAGCATTTGGAACACTACTTAAGTAAATATGTGGACACTAGAAATATGCATTTTCACCGACCTACAATTTAATACACCAGAAATAAAGCCGATACTCTCTGCCAGTATACAATTTTATCACATAAAGTGTAGTGCAATAAAAGTCATAGGCTACCACAATCTGAAGTTTTTACATGTAATCTGTACATAGCACCAAAGGAAAATTTATAATGAATCAGTGACGAAGTGGTTTAAACACTCCAGAACAAGCATGAGGGTCACTTAAAATCTGTTCGCCTTCTAACTTCACCTGAAAACTGAGGCCAGATTCTAGAGTGAATGAAGTAATGACTCATCGGTTATTAGTGAAAATGGAACTCCAAAAGCAGGTGGTGAAGTGTACTTTGGTGACTAGGGTTCAGCGCTACCGTACATGAATGAAATTCGCGTTTAAAAAATTTGGTAAAATTTATTTATTTTCGTTTTCTTTATGCACAACATTTCCTGTCGATCTTAAATTTCTGTTCACTATTAACAAATATATAGAATATACACACATGATAGCTGGTAATCCGAATCAGCGACCATGTACTGGCAAGTGTCTTAGGGCTTTGAGTTTGTGAAGGGCTAATGATAGGCCTAACTGTCCTAGTTCGAATCTGTAACTCGCTAGTTGAAAGTAACGTTGCTAGGTCAATAAGCCACAGCTCTACCTATGTATTAACTAGGTCGATAATGTCGACATCACTCTGAAAGACTGATCGCTGTAAGAGTAGAATTAATTCGTAGTATATGAGGTCATTAAATCTTCTCAGATTTGCAGTAAATGTGGATAAGGACGACGAACTTACTGATTATCGCATTCGTATACGTTCAACCCTAAAGCATCAACCCCAAGCCACAGGTCCGTTTGCTTTGCATTTTTGATTTTGAAATAAGTTACTCCAAACATTTCCAGATCTTGAGCAATCTTCAAATATTCCATTATTGCGTCCTCCTTGGATAGATCTCCGTGTGAGATATGGCACTTTACTATTTTCGCTTCCCATTCTTCATCCGTTAGGTTGTACTGCTCACGTACACTATATTGAGGGGAAAGAAAGGAAGACATTACTATGAAGAATACAGTAGTAAACTACAGGTTCTTGGCCAAGGTGAAATCAATTACATTAACACTTAATGTATGCAAGATTTGGTACAACCACATGAGATATTACGATACATGAATAAAAGTTTTTATGCAACGCATCCGGATAGCTGCCCAATATCACTGTGATGTTGGTAAAGCTGAAGGACAAGAACCCGAAAATCGTGAACGAACGAATGATACTGAGCAACCAGCCGACTAATACTAACAGACGATAACCAGCATACCCACCTATATGAAAGATGGCTAGACGACAAGCATTACTGACATTAGGGTGTTGGCACTCCAGTTGACAACCGTTCCTATAAATCCAGTGTACAGCTTTCGAGTATGCAGTAATGCAATGCAATGATCCATACCTCTTGTGGGGAATGATCATGCTTACTGGTTGCTTAAACGTGAAGGTTTGCACCCATGATTGTAGAACATACTAAGCACTCTATCCTGCATAACTAACATTCTTGCCTGTACATTTCGTTGAGAGCAGTTGCATCATTATCTCACGATAACCGGTTCACCTGAAATTTCTGTTGAGTACTTAAGTTCCGTCCCTCTTGTTAATGACTACTGCGAAATATAAAATTTTCAGCGGAATACAGAGTACAATGACTGACTGTGGATCAATATTTCGGCTTTAATAATCAAACTGTTTATTTAAACACTGTACCCAGCACCATCAGTATGAAATAAATACATCATCCGCTGTTCCAGCATGAACACTTTTGACTTTGTGTACTACCCTGCTAGGCCAAGCACAGTAAATATGTCTAAACTAAGGAGTTATGAAATGGTATCTGGGTGAACACTCAAAAACAACTTTTTGATCCTTCATGACTACGGGGTTTCTACAAAATGCTCATCTGTTAGTTCCCAGGATTTAAGGTTTTGAACTATCTGTAGAATACTAAAACGATACTTGACCTGTTACAGTGTCGATTCATTTATGCTATCATTTAAAAACCAGTAAATAAGTCTCTGTGGTATGTACGAGAACCATACTCCATCACACTGTCCAAATCCCACTATGAAATCATAACTTAGCTCACCGATGTTATTTAGTCCTTTGCATACTTATTAGCTGTACTACATCTGCATCCCTTCGTAAAATCTGCTTTTGTTACCACCCAACATTCACATCTCCCAACAGTGACATTATTTTGACGGTGAGCATCACAGTTACTCTTATCTTTTACTACCTACATTTAAATATCTTCATGAATCGCATTTTCGAGACATACCGATGAATAGCTTGAAATTAAATGCGTTGAAAAGGCTCCCCTTTGGTAGATTCCTTGTTTTTTTTACTACGATTACCTAAAACATTGGAAATTTGCTACGATCGCTGCGCTACTTTTGAAAAATCCAGGGGGAACTAGACATGGTGAAAACTAACTTGACCTTATCACTTTCAGAAACATCTGAATTACACTGATGAAACATGTTTGAGCACGCTCATTGTCACACAGTAGTGCAAACCTAGAAGCAGTAAACGAGTGGACTGAACCAGCTCTAAAGCAGCAGAAGTTGAGGTAACAGGTTGCTACGAAAACAAGCTAAAGGCAGAACAGAGATGAGACTGCCAATTGATACAGAAATAAAATCCATGAGAACATGACTATGTAAAACAGGATGAGAGCAATTAGTAAGTAAAATTCCATACAAAACGTCACCAAAAGCGTTAATGATAACAATAATAATGGTGATAATAATCATAATAATAGTACTAGTAACAACAATCCTTATTCTAAACAGATCTTTGGTACAATTAAGAATTTTCAGCATGATATTTTGCATAAAATAAAAACATACAAATACTCCTTTGCAGTTCTGAGTCAATTAGACAATTTATGTAAAGAATATAAATAACGAGGAAAACCCCAGATTGTTAGTTACACTAGTGGAAAGAGATTATTTACAGCTGCAAAATTGGTGAGTCTCATTCCAATACCTTTCTCCTCGCATAACTGCACGCTAAGGCACAATCGAATTTCATTTAGCTGTACAAGTGTACAATCTTATGTAATTTCTTCTTGTCTTCCCGAGAAGATAATAGGAGAGAGCTGTGAACGAAGTGGATGCTGTGCCAGTTAAGATTACTATAGTTAGTTGCAATCTAGAACTTGAATGTCTGTCAACTAGTGTTATTCAATTGAGGCAGAGGTACAGCATATCCTACTGACGGCTTTCAAAGCCCTGCGCAACAGAACATAATTTTTTTTTAGTGGATTAGGAAAGATCAACAGGGAACAATAGAGGTAAAATACAGGAACTAATAAACTGTAGAAGTAGAAGCTGAGTCCTATTAGAGACTCAGTTTCTTTATGTAATACGTTAAACGACATATTTTTTGGAAATCAACAAGAAGGGAGACGACCAAGAAAAATCAGAAGGAAAACAATCCAAGATAGTTAACATTCGATTTACTTTCTATAGTAGCTCATACTAGCAGACGAGACATGAGCGAAATGACCTTCGTACTATAAGGTATTCATAAACTTGGTCATCTAAAAACGTTTACACCTGGTACTGATACAACAGAAGTTTTTGCTGTGCATTTGGACAATCATTATGGTTGCTAGTCGTTAGGCTTTCAAGGTGAAGCTTCACAGCTTTCATAAGACAGGTTTATGTGGTCTCTAGTTTTTATAAGGAGAGGGGGGTTTTGTTAATAGAGGGCTGGAGATCAAAATTACAAAACATTGCGAACTGTGAAACGACACTGCCCCTGACACATGCGATTTGCTCATTAAAGAAACTCACTTTTGAGAAAGGTATCTATTCACTTTTAAAAACCCCGTGGTGTGAACATTTGGATCGAACTTTCCGTGACGAATTAATGCCTGGTAAGAAGCTAAGAGGAGAGCAGTGTCTGCTGGGCAATATATCTTTCCACTGACAATGTTCTCCTTTACCTATAATGAAATTACTACTATGAGGAAATCCAAAACTTACGTCATAATAGAAGTATAGTCTCGTAATCTCCTCAATAAGCTCTTCAGAAACTTCCTCCGGGTAGTACTTCACTTTGAAAGAGAATTGCAGAGTATCTTTGGTTTTTTGAGACGCTGGAATCTTTTTGGTAGTTTTGACCCATGTCAGTCTGTTTTTATGATCCATATACTGAAGACCGAAGTACCACATTTCTCTTAGGCCAAGGGCAGTGCAAACCTGAAACCCTATCAGACAAATACCAGTATTTTACCTGAGAAAGAAGCTGGCGTCCTGACGCATTGCTTTTCAGAGCAAAGTCTAGCTGCGCATCCATTGTGACAACGGAAACAGGTACCTTAAACATGAGAAAGTCTTCAGTAACTCACCATTTTCGGCATCTTAACACGTTAACGGGGTAACACAAACTTTAGATAACGCGGCCTAACTCTAGGCGCTCCTATCTCTAGCTCACCTTAACAAAATATTAGGAGTTATCACTGATTGAACTGAATTTTAGAGTCATTTAGCATAATTGTTTTACGAATGTCGTGATCTTAACTTACCTGAAGCTAGTTGACAACCTGGTCATGCTTCATATATGTATGACATTAGAAACCAGAAAACAAGCTCCTAAAGTTTGGTGTTCAAAATTTGAATTTATGGCGAATACTCTGGAGACGATGAATTTGTGGGGTTTTTTAGCCCCCAGATCCAAGCAGTTCTCGCAATAAGATCCTAAGTTTTCGTTAATTGACTTGGTCTTCCTCAGTAATATGAGCATGTTATTTATTAGCATCACTTAACTTCAGTAGTGAGAAGCAGTCACATTATAGGTTTTTTTCCGAGCATATTAGTCAGACTGCAATTTCATACCACTTAGGCTGAATGTATGACGCCGGGATGTATCAACCTTCAGCAGTGTGTTTTCTTGAATAAGCGGAACAATGCAAAAGGTTTACACGGTGAATGAGGTTGAGAAAAGTTAAAAATCATGCACTAAGATGCCAATTACAATTTGATTCATGACTGCCTTTACTGGGTCCTCTTATTGACCTATGTGATTTGTCAAGCAACAGACAAAGGTGATTAATAAATAAGATAGAAGCTTACTGACAAACTGAAATCTTCTGACAGAGCTCTGTATCTGGCCAGTCTTTCCTACAACAGTTCGGTTGATGCTGCAAACATTATTTCTTTCATAGTTCTATCCCGGGAGTACATTGTTAAACACGAAACACAGTACTTCATCGAAAGAAACTAGTCTTTTGCTTCCCTACACTCATTCTCTACCGTGCAAAAGAGCACAACCTTAAGATGAACTGAGTGGGGGAATCCTTTCGAGTCATTTCTTCCTGCTCTGTCACTTGTAATGTCCTCCATCTTCTCTGAGAAAACGAGAAGATGAATTCTGACTCCCGAAAGCGCTTGTTTTTAGCTTGGATATCCATGGATATTCACCTGCCTTCTCCCCAACCTGACCAGATGATTTTCCTACGCGGGTATCCTTTGAAATTCTGGCGTTGGTTGATGACGTGATGGCGTGGAGGGAAGGAGGGGGGTAGGAATGAATGATCAGCTTGGCAGAATACTTTGACCCGACTTCAAAAACGGGCTGATTGCAATGGACTTACCTTCATTTCTGAGAGATAAAAGGTGAAATGAATACGGAGTGATGCGTATCACAATGCGGTGGCAAATAATTCCCCAAATATAATGGCCCTATGTTCAACACGACGAAACACAGATACTAATTAAGGTTTTGGCAGTCTTCTTAGGCTGAAGGAGCACAACCAAATGTCCATACCATTTGGAAAGCTGATATGTTACTTTGTTCACAGGTGGTCCTCCAACCAGGTACTCCAGTTAATTTGGTATTTTGGTACAGTTCACCAAATATACTATTTTTGTCGTGTTACACTATTGTGCTCTTTCTTCGACTCGGACTCTTGAGATTTCCACAGGTGTAAAAATTAAAGTTTGGCACCTTATTCTGCCAAGACTTCGTAACGGCGATTTCGGAAGCACATCTGAGCTGGGTGACATGGAGCTGAAGGCATCTCAAGAAGAAAAGAATCCTGGGTCTTGGTTCTTCGTGACCGCCAGCCTTCGGCTGCGTGAAAATGTATTTCGCAGCAGTCTGGCCCTCGTAGACGTAGGGAGAGTCTGAACAGTTTGATCTTAGTTCCTAACGCCGAATCCTCACGGTTCCACATGCTGTCAGCTGTAATTTCGAGAATTAACCTCATGGATGACTCCTTGGGTCAAATGGGGAAAGCGCAGGTGCATTAGATATACATCTCCCAAAATCGGACAACAGATAAGTGACCTGATAACTACTCAGCACACCTGAAACATGTAGGTTCGCCCACTTTATCGTTTACGCACACCAAATTCCAAAACGAATCCCTTGGAAAAAACTCAGAAGTTTGCACCCCAAAATATATGGACGTGCTCTCGACGTAACTCTTAGCCCTGAAGAGTTGTTGAGTCTTGGAATGTTCCTGCCTTAGAGATCATTTAAGCTGCACAATTTGAGTCCTACAGACAAAACATCCACTTTAGATAGTGAGGTGAAGTTACAGCCTAGGCCACTAGTGATGTTCTCCCCTTTTTTCCTCATTCCATTTTTAAACAGCTTTTCACAGACAGAAACTAGCGGCTCATATATACTAGGCGCCTGAGTCAGCTAGACGGAGACTTCCACTTCATCAGTAAGTTTTTCATATTCATTGTCAGAATTGAATTATTGTCATGCTATGAACTTAACACGTAAGAAACCAGTTGGCAGGTTTCATCAGGCTAGCAGAAGTTAAGCAGCGAACAGCGTTGGAAAGACGGTTCGTGGTCCACAAGGTAAGCTAGTAAGCTGTATCATGGTCTGAAAAGCACCGCAAACTATAACATTAATACACTGCCTTATTTTGCATGGCAATGAATGGAATGAACAGCTTGCTAACATCCATAGCTGGGTGCAATCATGAGGTAGGAAAACCTCATTCACTCACTCTGTCATCGAATACGTGATATTTGTGGTACGGAATGCGTCCAACTTGAACCTGACTTTCTAAGATGGACGCTCGCGGAAACCGACTATCCTAGCCGATTTATCAGTAAGAATGTACGAGAAAGACATGCAAACCAGTCACCAGCTCAGCCTCTAAAAAGACTTCGCTCATGAATCTGAACTTCAAAGATGATGCACCATCAGATAGAAAACAATGTCCCTCTATATGCCAAGTCCATGTGCGCCCACCAGTTCACGTGCCCCTGTGGAGCAAGGTACATCGGCCATGGTCAGAGATTGCTGCCAAAATGTAAGTTCCACTCTTGAGCATTTAATCGATTCCAGCCATTCAACTAACCCAAACAAGGATTCTGAGATTGTCTATCGGATTCGCCCAAGCGCATCACGTTTCAACTGTGTTCACCCTCTGAAAACAGCAGAGGCCTTGGCAATTTTATGAGCTGAAGCCTGACCTTTGTGTGTAAAAAAAGTATGTATAGTCTTTGTCTTTACCTTGGCCTTAATTTATTTTGGTCTTGATATTACTTTGTTCCCTCTTTCGTTTTTCACCCTCCTTTTTTGTCAGATTAATCTTTGTGCTCCCATATCATGGTCATCGCCTCATTTTTATGTTTAATTGATTTGGGCGCTGCTTCATTTGCTCCTCCTAATAATCGCGATTTTTACCAAAACATTTCCATTTACCCCAGCTACCTTGTCTCACTCATATTACCTAATCCTTTGGTTGTTTATTAACGTTCCCATCCTATTTAAACTGTATGCACCTTACAAACGATTTAAAATCTTATGTAACCCCGTTTTTTATCACCCGACCTTTGCGTCATCAGCTAGCAACATTATACCCATAAACGCAATTATTATTGTTTCATACCCCCTTTATTTAAGTTCGATCTTCCTCATGGATCAGTCTTTAGATATCACGCATATATATATATATATATATATATATATATATATATATATGTACCGATATATATATATATATATACATATATATGTAGATATATATATATATACGAATGTGCAGCCTGAGGATAGGTTCATTGAAAAGAGTCCTCTTCGCTGAATATCTAGTGTTTGGCATCCAAATCCTGAAATATTCTATGATTGCATTGCAGATATACCTCGTCAAATTAGCGTCATTTTTGCCATGAATCCTTTCACTTATATCCTCGTCGTGGAGAGGTACTTCACTATTTTGGGAATCAGCAATTGTCCACATGATCATATGGTCCCGGCAGTTCTTCCTTTCCAGCTGTCATGGTTCGCCGCGCCATGTACACATTTCACTAGAAACAGTTACTGTAGTGCAGAGAACTAGGCTTTAGAAGAACTTCCGCCTAATGGAGATGGTCTTTGCACGGGAATGGGGTAGGTTTCATCTCAAAACGTGCAGCATTATAAAGGAAGTACATTCCCTGCTCGTTGTCCTCTGGTTGGTGAAGTCACATGAAATGAATCGCAAGGAAATCTGTCGTGTAGTACTGCTGCATGCAAGTTGCCTTTGGAGTTACTAGGTAAGTCGGCCTCTTAAATTTCGTTGTCTGTTTAAATTTAGACTGCCATTTTGACCGCCCAGAAGATGTGAGGTTTTTTATTGTAAGATAGGTTTCATATAGAGTTGTCTGAAGGGAATTTTGAAACTCCCCAGAAAATGGGAAAACCTTGGGGGCAAACCATCTGAATCCTTCTTTTGACAGTTCCCGATATCATTTACTGTGTAACATCTGCAACTTGATATTTTTTAGACCAGAATTAGGCCTAAGATCTCGCGAGGTTGGTGTTTTTAATTCAAAGCATTAGTAAGTGTCCGCATAGCGGTAGGAAAGCGATGAATGTGAACTCAGGCGTTTGCAGTTCTGTGAGTGTGACGGTTGGCAGCAGCGCGCCTACTCACCTACTGATCAGGATTCTTAAAGCGACGAACCGTCTAAACTTTCCCAACTGCCATAGTGGCACAAATATTCTGAACGAACGATTAGAAGAGAGATCAGTTTACCTATTACCTGCAGTAGTTCCACACTACATATTCTCTAGTACTTTGTACCAGGTGATCTCAAGAAAAATTTACTACCCATCAAATACACTTCTCGAATGATGCCACTTACGACATCATGAAAGGTACCTGAAGTCTATGTATAACTGCTGCCATTTGGACTATTAACCGTTTCAAAGTTTATTTGCATCCACTACTGCAAGAATTCTCGGTGGGATCATCGTATATTACCTGTGAATATAGCATGGTGAACTGGAAATGCATTGATTTAGACACCCACCCTGGTTATATAACTGTGGCTACTTGCTGATGATTCTGACAGTATAAACTATTCCTTTGTGGTTAGCAAGGCAAGAAACTTAAGAACTTCCTAATGAATTGGCGGTCATATTACTAAATAACAAACTGTGCCGATGGACCA